TTTAGGGTTGAGGGTTTCCGGTTTGGGGTTTCGGGTTCTGGGGTTTTGGTTTCGGGTTTGGGGTTTCGGGTTGAGGGTTTAAGGTTTCGGGTTTCCAGCTTAGGGTGTAGAGTTTAGGGTTGAGGGCCCTGAAAGGATCTCGAAAGTAGAGCCCTCAATTTCTTGGAGGCCCAGGGGACTTAGTAAGTCGGTTATCAGTGGCTTTATAATTGGGATAACTCCTTTTAGGGTACTTATAACTCTACTTATAACCTACATGCTAAGTCCCCTGGGCCTCCAAGTTGAGACTCGGTAACCCTCATAGCTCCCTTTACCCAGACCTCCGGGAGGATGCGAAAACTAGATCCCTTAATTGGGGGTTTACTTTAAAGTACCCCTTAGTAGCACAGGGTCCCAAATTAGGGGATCTGCGCTATAGATCCTTCCGGGGGTCTGGGTTCAGGGAGCCCTTGAAGGATACCTCTTTGCGTCCTTCTAGGAGTCTGTGTAATATGGAGGCCTTTCTTTCTTTCTGTGAGGCGAAATGTCCGAAAGACGTGCCTACTGCAGGAAATCGAATTCGCAGGTGAAACAGCAGTGTTCTGGCGCTTGTGAACCTCCGCCAAGTGCGACCAACCATTCGGATAGGGGGCGCAGGGCCTGGAAGCTATACGAGAAACCAATCCAGACCGGAACACCTCTGAGGGCGTGTTGAGCTGCCTGCGCAACTAAGTTACACACATCCTCAATCCAGAGTCGGAAGAGACGCATACCACGAACGGGGCACGGAGCAGGGTCGAGTATCCTGTGACCCCCAGCAGGTGGCGTCGGGAAGAGAAAACAGTAGCCAGAAGCAGGAGGGAGGCAAAATGCCGAACCGGCTGGGAGACCAATCTCAGCAGGCGGCAAGTCCAACAGCCCCCATCGGCGAGCCCAGCCGACCTGGAACCGGCCGCCCCACACGACCGGGAGAACACCCTGGCAAGGGCGCCAAATCGAAGGGATGATTGCCGGGCTAAACGCCCGATGTGGCTCACAAGCAGTGGTGGCACACCCGGCAGTGCTGTCACATACATGCTCTGGATGAAGAACAAGTAGGACATCCGCACAGGCTTCACTTAACTCGTCATCAGAGATGGAGGCCTGCCATACCAACAGGGTGTTGCGCAATACAGGCAACGGAGCAATGTGCGTGGCAACCACATCAAAGATGTCCTGATCCGTACAAAGCGTCGCCTCCCGAAGGGTACGCAGGAGTTCAGGACTGGTTTCGGGCAATAGAGGGCCGAAGAATTTCGGACCGGTACCCGGTTCCGCAGGAGCCTGAGCATGAGCCTGAGACAGCTCAGTCGGAAAGAGAAGCGCATCGCCAGGGTCAAGCAGCCTCTGGAGACAAAGAGGCGTATGCTTTAGGTGTAAGCGTAGCTTATTGACATTCGCGACTAAAAGTCCGCATGCCTGACAGCGACGGCCTTGGGCAATATCGTGGGCCGGGTGATGGTAAGAATGGCGACGGTGTGCGTGGGCACCCCACGACTGCCTGGTCCGAAAAGCAATCTTACACTGGAGGCACGCATGAGTATATGTGGACAGCTCAGCCCTGCGCTCTACATGTGCTGAGGGCCATACGCTACGCGCACAGGACTCCACTGCAGCAGAAGTGCGTGCGGTTTCGCAGTGCCATGCCTCTGCTCGCTTTATCAGACCTTTAAACCTGCCAGGCGAATCCCTCATCATGCAGTGCCAGGAGTGCCAATCATCGTCGATGGGTCCCAACGGGGACAAACCATGTGTGGCTTGTAGCAACCAGGTAGAGGCCTGGCGCAGAGCCGCAAGATACGGTCCAAAGCGGCGAAGGAGCGCCCATGCGAGGTCGGGTCCTGACCTGACAAGTAGGGCCAGGAACCGCAGTCGCTCCGCGGAGATCAGAGACACTGGTCCGGGCAAGCCTGTGCGAGCAACAATCTGCAGTTCCGTGACTCGCCAGTTTTCTTCGCGCAACCCAAGCAGCTGCCTGAACAAGCCGACTATACCCCCGCTGAAAGCAGCCCATTCGCGTGGGTTGAGGAGAGGCCACGTTCCGCTTCCTGCAAGGATGGCGGACAGAACGTGCGAGCGAAACAATGTTGCACGGCGGTCCAATGGCACCGCTTTACAAGCAAAAAGGCGCTGGCGGCCTTCGCGGAAGGCAGATCGGCCCACTGCGATCCTGTGCTTGACCTCCATCAGAAGGCTACCGTCACAAGTGAGGATGGATCCTAGATGTTTGTAGGATGTGACTAAATCCAGGAGCACAGGCCCTGCATGTTCTGGCCACACAGGCAGACGGCCGTTCTTAGTGGAGAACAATTCACGTCTTGCGGCTCGAGACCCCTTTCCGACAACAGACAGAACTGCAGCTGTCTTGGTCGGGCCGAAATTGGCAGTCAAACCGTGGGGAGGTAAGACATTGAGGGTGGCCGCAGCCACATTGCTGACCGCCTGTCTCATGCCATCTGCAAGTGGCGAGACAATGAAGGATGCGAGGTCGTCCGCAAAGACAACATCTTGGGTAGAAAGGGCGGGCGCGGCCTGACCACACGGCTCAAAGGGCATGTAACGGCCGTCCCACGGTATGGAGGGAGATGTGCCGGCCAGATCAGCTTGATCACGTCGCTGGAGCACCCGCCCAAACAAAATGTTAAACACGATGTCAGCCAATGCACCACCAGGGCGAGTGCCCCGGTGGGTCCGAACGATGGCTGTGTCGCCCGCCATGACAAACCACGTATGACTATGGAGCTCACGGGCCAACTCCAAGAAGAGCGGCCGTGCCTGCTGCTCAAGCAAAACGGGGTGCTGTGCGATATGCGAGCTCAGCAACTGGAGATCATCCCTGGTGAGGTGCAGGGAGGCGGCGATACTCTCAACGGACCTGTCTCCTAGGCCACTGCCTAGCACTGTTTCTCGCATGACGCTATAGTAAGCGGCAGCAAGGTCGACAAAGAGAATTCCCGCGCTGAAACCACTGCTGCGCGTATCCGAAAGGAAAGCGCGAGAGCAAAAATGTCCAAAGCTGGCAGCACAACCTCGCCTCCCTCCAAGTTGCATAGGCAACGCATGAGGAATCCATTGTTCAACTGCCAAGGCGCGCATGGAGCGATGCAATGCCTTGGCAATGCAAGATTGCACTAGGATACCCCGATGCCCGGAGCAGCGATTGTGAAGTGCAGCTGTCGGCTTGGGTATATGGTGCAAGAGCCCACCTTTAAGCCCGACTGCCTCAGTTGCTCGCAGGATGGTTTTAAGTGCCATAGGCCAAAAGAGGAGGGACATGTCGGAACTGAAATGATGACACAGCGAAGGTGGAATCAGATCGGGACCGCAAGCCTTGCCAGCTGCGGTGTGCCTAAAGGCTTGCTCCAAGGAAAGAGGGGTAGGTGCCTGAGCCAAATCAATGGTGTCGGTGCCTGAAAAGCCATCGTGCCACCTCCAGCATGAAGACACCAATCCAGAAGCCGGCACGGTCTCCCCATCTTCGAGCGTGCTGAAATGATGCCTCCAAGCCTGCTGTACCTCATCGTATGAACGGCACACTGTGCCATCTTCCTTGTAGAGCAACGGCAGGGGATCCGCAGAACCACGGCGGAAACGCTTAGGCTTCAGCACCCGCTTAACCGCATGGTGCAGTTCTCCGGGAGGGCGAGACGCAATATCGCTCGCAACCTCACTGAAGAAAGCTGAGCGATCGAGCCGACATTGCCTGCGTAAGTCACGCCCGGCTCGATGCAATAGCATGCAAGAGAGGGCAAGACGATGACGAAGCTGCCGTAGCCACCGACCACAGTAAAGTTCGGCGAACGTTAAATCTGCGCTGTTCCAGGCTTGGAACGCGCACCGCAAGAGGGCATATCGCAGCGCAACCTTCCTAGTGCGAATGTTGTGCCTAAGTGTGCCCACTGCACTGTGCAGGTCGCTGGTTGCCTCGGAGAAATATTGTTCCCTTAGGCGAGATCTGCGCATGGGGAAGGCAGCCGCAAGCCCTTGATACAGGTGGTCGACAATGGCTGCGGCATGCTCGCTTACATCAACATGCCAGGGTGGCCGAGGAGCAGAGGCAATGATCCGCCGTACCTCCTCAGCGTTGTGAGGCTGCGCAATAGCAGAAGCATCAATGCGTACATGGCTTGCTGCTCGTGGGGGACGAGCCTGGAGAGTAAGGCTTATCCGGACTACGGTGGCTAGATGGTCAACGCAAGAGTGACCAGTCGTGATACCCGGATCAACCCAGGCTGCACATGTTCCCTGCCAAGTGGAGGGGATGCACACGTAGTCGGATCGCACAAAGGAACCATTGCGATGCAAGCAAAGAGTGCCACCGTGGCCTTGCTGACAGCTGTCGAAAGTAGCAGGTATCCAAGCATCGAGTTCCTGTAAGAGAGCATGGCACCAGTTGCCGGAGAAGTCCTCGGGATCCGCATTGCACGATCCGACCGAGGGGCTGGTAGCACTTCCGAATCTGCAATTGCCGTCCATCAGAAGGATCCATGCTGCGTTTCCCGCAAATTCGCGGCATAAGCTGCCTACCCTCTGCCACCATGCCTGCCGCACGGGTTCTGGATGGGCTCTATGGGGGGCGTGGCCAACTAAAACCCTAACAGAGGAGCCTCTAAAGCGCAGACCTACTAGCAACACGGTTGGGTCGGAGTGCATAACAACTGCCTCTGAGGCTCGAAAAGGCCCCCCATCAGAGATCCAGAGTTCGACCCCGAAGCAGAAGCCGTCATCACAGCCAGACGCCAGTCTTGTGTACTGGCGGCATCTAGAGCGGCCCCGCGGGGTGCGACATTCCTGCAAACCGGCAAGGTGAATGTTTTTGCTCTCCAAGGAGTGGGCAAGAAGGCTGACCCGCCCGATGGCTCCCTGCAAGCCAGGGCGATTGTCATGCTGTGACACGCCTAAGAGTGACAGGACGTTGTAGGAAATAAGCGCAACCTCGACCACATGGGGGTCGGGCAAACAGTGTGATGTCGCAGCCGGTTGTGAGCGCAGGAAGGGGTGCAACACGTCCGCTGCCGGAAGCGTACGCATCGGACTATCCATATCCCAAGCCAACCTGTCCTTGTGGACAGCTGGAAGCTCGGAACCACGGCTCCGAGAAATACAAAGGTGCGGGATCCAATAGCTCGCATGCCCCTTGTCACGGAATATTGCATCAAGGTCGGCCCCAAAAGGGAACAGTGAACTCCTGCCGGTGGCGCCGAGGCCAGCAAGGCCGTCGGACAACTCGTTGGCAAAATCCCCAGCGTGCCCAGGAACATGCTGAAATGTAGGAGTGCACCGGCCGAGACCTTGCAGGGCTAGGAAAAGGTTGCGTGCGACGACACATAGGGGATGGTCTCGGAAAGAGCCCTTACCCGCAGCCCCCTGAAGCGCAGATATGCCGTCGGCCCGGAAAACAACCTGACCTCGGAATGGTAGCCGCAACACTGCTAAAGCAGCCTGCATGAGGCCGCCAACCTCAGCTAGATACGCATCAAATGGCCCGTCAAAGGGAGGGTGGGGACCGACACCATCTGGACTGGCGACCCCAGCAAGCGGCCCAAAGAAGCAGCCGATGAAAGTGCCAGGCAACCTCAGGCTCTCTGGCGGCACCAGGCTTAGAGTGACCGCCCATCCGGCCGCACCGGAGGCAGCAGAGAAGGAGCCATCGGAGGTAAGAACAAGCACCTCTTCCGGTTCAGGTGAGCGACCCACAAACCCGGCATCAAGCCATCTGGAGAATCGGCCTGGACGGGGCACATCTCCGGGTGGTCCAAGGAGGTTGCAAAAGCAAACCGGTTTCAGCAATTCATGCAACTGATCCATAGAGCATGGCAGCAAACACTGTCTGTCTTCTAGGCAGTAGACCTCAGCCTCCGAGGCTGTGTGACCTTCCGGCGCCGCAGTGTGGCTCACACTGACAGGGAGCAAGCTGTCCAACTGCAAAGCAACGGCGTCATGGGCGTTCTGCTGAGGCACAGGTCCGCCGAGAACTCCTGGATGGCCGTAGAAATGCTCGAACAACGTCTCAACAAGGGTAGCAGTCAGGTAGAACGCCTGGCAGGCAGGATCGTGAACGGAACAGTCCAGCAAGGTGTGGAGTGAATCAAGTGGGAAGGTATCCTCCTCGCCTTCGGAACTGGAGTCATCAGCTAGGTTAAATACCTCGCAGGGGACGGCCCCAATGTTGGAAGGAGCAGCGGCCCTAAAATGAGCTCTGCAGGGGGTGGCGACAGGGCGCGAGAGGGCAGAGACAGGGGTATCGCGCCCGCCTGTAACTTCAGGACCTGGGGACAGCACATTCCCTGGCATGTGCACCTGCACGGCAAGCACTCCACATTCATGAATGCAACACACGCAGCCCAGACCGGCTAGAGCCCAATTCGCCCGCCGGCCGTGCGCGCGTCCAGCACACATCATCAGACACAGGGTCGCAATCCCTCCGGGGTATAGGCATAGGAGGACAGAGGCAAGCCACAGGATGCCTGAAGCGCAGGCGGTTTTGACATCTTGCCTGACATGAAGGGGCGGCTTGGGGTTCTGTCCCAGAACCACCGGGCTCATCCCTGGATGAGCTGACATATCCAAACCCGGAGGGGCAGCCGCAATACTCGTGGCCTCGTGATACGGGTCCTGAGTAACTCCAGGTGCCGATGAAACAGGTCCCGGTGTCGTAGAGAGTCTGGGCGGCGGTGACATGGGCATCACGCCCGTGCTTCGCTGAGGAGTGCGCGCTGGAGCTGAAGCCACAGCACGATGCAAGACCTGCTGAAAGGTCGCATCGTCCTCTCGAGCCCAATCCTCGAACACTGAGTCCACCGACGGAAGATCCGAAGCAGCAGCTGCTTCCATGTTCTGGTCGCGTGCGAGGGCTTGGCGGATGGCCTCCCTCGCGATGTCTTGGGCATCGACAGCCTCGGCCAATTCCTTTTCGCGCTTCTTCTGCTCTTGCATAAACTTCAGCCGCTCTCGACGGAAGTTCTCTTTGGCCTGGCTTTCGAACAAATCCCACTTGTCCTGGCAAACCTTGATGGATTTGCGCAATTTCGAGACTCGCAACTCGGCCTTGCGGGCGTGATTCACGGCATTTTGTACCGAGGGAACCATTGTATCGTCCGCATCCACCACCAAAACTGGAGCATCTTGTTGTCTCTTGGGCAAGGAGACCGAAGCATACGAGGGGAAGGCGAGGTTCGGCTTCGGGTTGTCCTCCGCCTTCCAAGGGGCAGAGCTGCGCATAGCAGGAGACCAAGCACCACGCCAGTATCGTTGCTCCGACTGTCCTTCGGCCCATCCTGCAGACTTACGTCCGCCACGGCCCATGCCAGGTGGGTATCCAAGTGCAGATCGTAGAGACGGGCAAGCCGAATGATGCTCCGCAAGTCGGCGTCGCTGCACAGCAGAAAGCCGGCGACCGCCACGAAAAGACTTGCGAGCAGCGGAGCGCAGAGAGCGCTGTCTTCGGTGCCACCGCGGGGAGCCTGTATGCGGCGCGATGGCTGCACGGCTCGGACCCGAACGCGTCCTTTGACGCTGGGGCTCTAGTCTTCCAACAGCTCTCGTTGGCAATCTGAGCCCTAATATGGAGGCCTTAATAATTAGAATAGGGATTTGGGGCCCATTGTACTATAGTTATATTAAGGAGCCCCAGCAGTATATATATATATATATATACAGGCGATTACCTATATTGTATTAGCTAGGCCGGCTGTTCGGGCTTAGGGTTTTGCGGTGTTGACAAATCCAAGACACCTGACCCTATGTCTCCTAACCCGGAATCAGAACCCAATCCAAAAGCGGTTTAGGGTTCAGGGTGTGGGGTCAAAACACCCGCCCCTAAACCCTAAACCCTTAATAAAAGGAAACTACAGGTGGGGAGTTTTGGGTATATAGGGCCTCTATAAGGCTTCTATAAGGTATATAGACCTTCTATAAGGCTCCTATAAAGGTAACTACCCAGCTGAAAATGTCCTATACTTAACCCATACAAGCATCGGGCGATGTAGGCCGGAATGCTCTCAATTGCATTGCCAAGCTCACCTTGCGAGTCTATGACTCAAGGGCCCCCAACAAAGGCTCAGAAGGGTTTTCATATGGTTTAGGGTTTAGGGTTTAGGGGTTTAGGGTTAGGGGTTTAGGGTTTAGGGGTTTAGGGGTTTAGGGTTTAGGGTTTAGGGTTTAGGGTTTAACCCCCTAAATCCTCCCCCCCCCCCTCCCCCCCAAAAACTTGCCGGATTCAGAGGTCTGGAGGGAATGTACGATGAGATCGGGTGGCTGGAGACCCCTCTCCAGTACTGTGCCTTCGCCTAAATATGCATGAAGATCCTCTCACCAGGTTGGATGAACACTCGGTAGTTGACACCAGTTCGAAACATGTCTACATTACCCAAAAGGTCCAAGAGTACACAAATAGTGGGGCTTTAGGTCTCCCAGACTGTATGTACTCTAAATGGATATGGCACTTAAAAACTCACCCCAAACTCTAAACCCCTAAACCCTAAACCCCAAGCCCTAAACCGAAAAAACCCTAAATCCTAAACCGCCCGACTGTGCACGGAAACCGTAATTCATCAGCTCTTCCGGTGCGAAGACAGCACAGACCCAGACCCCCGGGAGGATGCAAAAAGTAGATTGCTTAATGGGGGGTTCCCATAGAGTACCCCTCAGCAGAAAAGGGTCCCAGACTAGGGGATCTACTTTTTAGATCCTTCCGGGGGTCTGGGGAAGTACTCCGGCTAGGCCCTGTGAGCTGCATAGTGGGGTATTTGGGTTCCACATGCTTCCGGGTTAGGGTTTGAATTTTTATGCTTTCCAAACAATCACCCAATAAAACAGGTTTATAGCCAGGCTCTAGGCAGCTCACCTCCGAAATAGCCCAGCACCCCAAAGCATCCTTCATCAGTGGGTCCGATATACTCTACGTTCCGACAAATCGGTTCTGGAAGGGGTAGTTGGGGAGGGGTTCGAGTCTAGGTCAACCCTTTACCCAGACCCCCAAAAGGATCCAAAAAGTAGATCCCTTAAGGGGGGGTTCCTATAAAGACCCTTTAGTAGTACAGGGTCCCAAACTAGGGGTTCTACTTTTTAGATCCTTCCGGGGGTCTGAGTTAGAGTCTAGGTCAACCCTTTAATTGCATCCAGCGACTGTTCAGCTCGTGCGCCAAGCCCTTTGTCAATGCCCGACGTGTTTGGTGATCCAACTGCGGGCAAGAGAAGTAGTCATACCTGGTTTAGCGTTTAAGGTTTACGGGATCAAAAGGGTATCTTTAAGGGGTCTATAATTATCGGGCTCCTCTGAACGATCTATAGGGTGCCTTGTGGGGATCTGCAGGGACTTTAGGGTTTAGCGCCGTCGGGTTCCGCATTATAAGGACGTCAGCAGAGCTTTATGAAGGCCTGATTTCCCCCTAAACCCCAAACCCGTAAAGCCTAAACCCTAAACAATGAACACTAAACCCTAAACCCTGAACCCTAAACCCTTAAACCCTAAACCCTTACTTCCTAAACCCTAAACCCTTAAACCCTAAACCCTGGTTGAGGGTTTGGGTTTAGGGCTTATACCCAGACCCCCGGAAGGATCTAAACGGTAGATCCCCTAGTTTGGGACCCTGTACTACTCAGGTGTACTTTATCGGAAACCCCATTAAGGGATCTACTTTTTGGATCCTTCTAGAGGTCTGGGTAGGGACGAAGGCTTGCTGGGAACGAACTACTACGAGACGCCCAACTCGCTTGGTTAAGGGAATGTAGCTTAATGCGTCGGCCTAGAATTTAGAAGGGAGTTTAGGGATATATGCTCGTATCATCGTATGAATATAGCAAAACTCCTCTGGAACATCATTGGAAATATTCAGGCTCCCCTAGTACCTCAGGATCTCTTTAACATCTGTGGTACGCTCCTCGTTAGGGGGTTCTTTGAGTTTCAGGGAAGGATGAAGAAGCCAAGTTAAACCCTAAACCCTAAACCCTAAACCTAGGTTCACGCTTTCGTCAACGAAAACGAGAAAGGAAGGCTAGGGTTTAGGGTTAGGGTTTAGGGTTTAGGGTTTACTGTTTAGGGCTTAGGGTTTAGGGTTTAGGGGTTTAGGGTTTAGGGGTTTATTTAGGGTTTAGGGTTTAGGGCCCTGAAAGCAATGAAGATGCCACACGAAGATGGCGTTCTCGCGGAGCTCTCGAGTGTCCAGCGGCTTCGCGCCAGGTACCATGGCTTCGGTGTTCAGATCAAGGGAGATGTGCGATAGATCTGAAGTCATACCTTGGAGCTCAGAAGAGGGATATCTGATTCAGGGACATTTAAAGAAGGTCTATTTCGACTGACGGATCTACAGATTCGGTTTTGGCCTACTTGCTAAGTCCCGTGGGCGTCTAAGTACGGATGCGGCTTGAAGGCACCAAGATCGAAAAGAAACCACGTCACGTTAAGGTTGATCTCCTCGCAAAATCCGATAAATCCTTGATGAACCTTGATGTTAAGGAAAGCCGTCTGAAACAAGACCCAAAACTTAAGCAACACACTTCCTTAAACCCTTAACCCACAGATAAGATGCGCTTCAGCGCCTCCTGAAGAACCTGAGATGCGGAGCTGTTGTTAGAGATCAACTGGGTTGCTGTTAAGGAACTTTGTTTAACCTACCATAGTGAGGTAACGGTGTGTACATAAAATATGTATATATATATATATACATATATATATATATATATTATAATGGTGATATTAATAATAAACAATCAAAATAATAATGATGATCATAATAACACTAATAACCTGATACTAACAATAATAATAATAACAATAATAATAACAATAATAATAATAATAAAAGGGGGTTCCCTCATCATAGTGACTTAATTCCGTTTGTGTCTCAGGCTTAGGACTTCGGCCAAAGCCTTGCAGGAACCTCCAGGGCCCTCGAGTGGTTCGTAGCCCTTTCCCTAAGGGTCCAAAGGACTCAATTTCAGGGTTTAGGAGTTTAGGGTTTAGGGTTTAGGGGTTTAGGGGTTTAGGGTTTAGGGGTTTAGGGTTTAGGGGTTTAGGGGTTTAGGGTTTAGGGTTTGGGCTCAGGGATTTGGGATTTACCCTAAGGGTCCAAAGGACTCAATACCCAGACCCCCGGAAGGATCTAGAAAGTAGAACCCCTAATTTGGGGGTTCCTTTAAGGGCTCCTAAACGGGATCTATAGGGCTTTAGGGTCTTATAAGGGTTCAGGGTTTAGGATCTAGAAAGTAGAACCCCTAATTTGGGACCCTATACTACTAAAGGCTCTTTATAGGAACCCCCATTAAAGGATCTACTTTTTGGATCCTCCTGGGGGTCTAGGTAATGAGGAACTTTGGCTGCAGGTAGTAGTTATCTAGGTTAATATTTGGGAGAGTATATGATTATTAGGTACTTGGACCCTTAGGGTTACAAAGAAAGCTGCAAGTCGAGCCGCGGTTTAGGGTTTATGTTTAGGGCATAGGGCTTCGGGTTTCGGGTTTAGGGCTTAGGATTTCGGGTTTCGAATTCAGGGTTTCGGGTTTAGGGTTTCGGGTTTAGGGTTTCGAGTACGGCGTAGGAGCATGACACATAACACCCGTAACTTGGTTTTGCTGCGCCAAGTCTCATGTCAGTTTTTACGAGATACTTTAGCAGTGTGCCGCAACATCAGCAACAGGGGGATAACACGCCATTTGTAAAGCACCAGAATCGAGTCCGCTCTGCGTAACCATACAGACTCAACACTTGGCCATGCCTTAAAAGGTAGATCCTTTAATGGGGGTTCCTATAAAGAGCCTTTAGTAGTATAGGGTCCCACATTAGGGGTTCTACTTTCTAGATCCTTCCGGGCGTCTGGGTTCTTGCTCCCTACACCAAATCTGAACAATGCACTAAACTCTAAACCCTAAACCCTAAACCCTCAACCCAAATCCTAAACTCTAAACTCTAAACCCTAAACCCCAAACCCTAAACCCAATCCTCTATCCCCTAAACCCTAAACCCTAAACCCTATACCCTAAACCCTAAACCCTATAGTACCCTAAACCCTAAACCCAAACCCTACAATCCCCATGCTTGCGGTTCAAGCCCGGCAAAATATCCGTTTAGAACCCTTGCAACACCTTTAAGGGTTCAGGGTTAGGTGTCGACTGAGCCCTAAACCTTAAACCCTAAACCCTAGGATTTAAAGGTATTGAGCCT